TTACACAAACTTCTGCTATTAAGTGACGTAAAGAATAACAAACGAAACCTTCAAATAAAATAGTTTTTTGGCCTCTATATGAGATAAATAAACAATAAATATTCAAAGAACAGCTACGCCAAGCTGTAAAAACGATCGGTTGTATAATGGGTAAGGGTAAATTCGGAAGCAATTTTCAGAAAAACTGCCTTTTTAACTTACTTTCAGCTAATAATTAAACATGTAAATATTAAAATATTCTATACACTTAACTATGGATTAAAAGTTACTTTGTAATAAGTTTTAATAGCAAATAATTCTCGATCATGATTGGCTAATTTTGGGGTGAAACCAAATCGGTGGATATGTAATACTGTAACGGATAGGTTCGTAATTCATTAGTGGGTGAGTTTACGATTTTATTAATGAATAGGTTAGCGATTTCGATACTGAGCAAATTTGTGAATTCAACAGTGGATGGGTTCATATTTCGATTGTAGGTAGATTAATAATTTCAAAACAATGAGTAAATTCGTGATTTCAACAATGAGGTTTATAATTTCAATAGTAGGTGGGTTAGTAATTTCAATAGGGAGAGTTCATGATTTTAACAGTAGTGGGTTCACGTTTTCAGTAATAGGCAATTTCTCCACGGTGGGCAGGTTCGTAATTTCAATAGTAACGGGTTCGTAATTTTAAACAGCGAATATGTTTGTAATTTTAATGGTGGCTGGGTTAGTTAACTGGATTTGTTCGTAATTAACAATAGGTGGATTTCAACAGTTAGCGGATTCATTATTCGTGGCATCAGTGGTTTGTAGTTTGTGATTTCAATAGTGATTGAATGCCTCACGGTTTTAGTAAGTAGTAATTTCTGATTTTAACCATGAGTGAATTCGTGCTCCCAATAATAGGTGAGTGATTTTAATAATGAGTATGTTCATAATTAGTAGATATTTTCAATAAATAGGATTATTACAACAGTGGGTGGTTCGTAATTTAAACAGATACTTCATGATTTTAACAGCGAGTGAATTTGTAATTTCAACGGTAGATATGCCTACGACCTTAATAGTGAAAAAAGTAGTGATTTTAATTGTGGGCAGAATTATAAAGAAACTAGAGTATGTGGATTTTGGGCGGCGAAGCCGCCCATAATTTTTGAATTTGATATTCAGTGGGGGATCGTGACATCATTTATTTTTTCATTTTGAAACGTGATTATTTTTCCAAGTAAATTTGAAGGTTTGTGCAGTACTTTAATAATATTGGTTAAATCAACCTGGATCCAACAACTTTCATATGACGATTTATTTTGTAAAGATGTATAAGCAATTTATGAGAGATCAAAGTATAAATTCTAGACGTCGAGTAAAAAAAACTAAAAAAAGGTTAAAAGTAAAGATTCGGCAAAGCAACATGGGTTTGAATGTTAGTTTATAAGGTAGAGGAGGGTACCCTGGCATTTTAGGTATCGTTCCCACAAAAAATTGTACACTTATTAGTAAAACATCACGAAGAACATTTTTAATTAGGCCGCAGTAGGTTGTTTCCTAATTAAAATTTAGGGTTATTCTTGTTTTTGTGTAAAAAAATGTGTTCGTTCGATTTTTGGTCAAAATTACAGGGGTGAACAATTTTTTGTGGGAGAGCTAGGGGCGTCTTATTCTGGCGGGGGTGATACACTTGAGGTTTGTCTTTCTTTAGAAGACCGTATGAGTTGGTTTGAAATGCCTTACGTAGAGGCCAGTACTCTGAAAAGTCATTATGTATTCTGAATTTTCCCTTGTGTATCATCCATTGAATTCGACTTGTAATTTTAATAAACCCTTTCATGACTCAATTCGACGGACTGAATTGACTTGTAACTTCGATTTGGCTTATTAAGACTCGGATTCTAAAGTTAGCCTTATTTTCCGTACACCATTGGAGCTGGATTGTCATACTCTTAATGTTATTTCATTAGCTCTCCCATTCAACGTTACAGTATATTTAGCCCAGTTCCTCTTGGAAATCCTTGCAAAAGGTGTGTAAGCTTGAATTTTTTTTTTTTTTTGATAATTATGATTTTCTGAACAGTAACGACTTAAGTTAGAAATTATTTCTGAGATGGATCATGTATCATATATCTATGCAATTTCTATTCTCTAAACTTTAGTCTATTTCCTTCTGATTTATAGTTATAAGAGTTTATAATAGGTGTAGAGGTTGTAATAGGTGTAAAAGTTTAATTGTCATAATGAGTTTAATAATTCGACTATGCTAATCGGTAAATTTGCGACACAGTCACGTTAAATATGAACAGATACACTATAGATCGTCAACTAATTATGTGCATTACCAGGTTCTTCCTATCCAAACGATTTAGCAGGAAATACTTATCAATGCTCGGGTATGAAAATGTATCTATTTATTATTGCCTCACCCCCCTTTTTTTTTTCTTTTTTTTTTAAAAAAAAACCCCCAAAATTACTATGATAAAATTCGAAAAGGTTAGCATGGCATTCTTGTAAAGTGCATCAAGTGCATAAGGTCTCTGCAAATGTATCTGTCAATGTTTCCTTGCTGATCCAAATTATTTAATAAGAGCCAATGGGCTGGAGCGATGTTCTATAAAATGTATCTGCTTAAATGCTTTACCCTTATTTAAGCTGGCTGCATCAGAAAATTAGTACTGGTATATTGAAGTATTGCTTCTGCAAGTTGTATCCACTGGTGTTTCCTTCTTTTATCTAGAACTTAAAATTTATTTCAAAGAAAATTAGTGTGGTGTTCTTGCAGTATGCATCTTCAAAAGCTTTCTAATGGCGGGTCGCCTTATTTTTCTTTGTTGGTTAGGGGGGCCGTTTGATAAGCAAGCTAGCCTTTATCATTGTTATGGAAGTCTATAAGGTTAACTTAAGACGATTTGTCTATGCGGGTCACAGTGTTGCCAGACATGTTTAATTGAACTGTTTGGATCAAAGTAAGGTCGATATTTGCTTGAAATCGCTTATTCAAAGCTCGACGTACGCTTGGCAGAGTTAGCCATTGATATCAGTAAACAAATTGAGTCATCAGTGTATGATTTTATGTTAGGATCAGTGTGTGTTTCAGTCTTGTGCTAGGAACTGAGACTCGTTGGGAAGTCGGGTGTGGGCCTTTGTCAAAGTCATGTGGGTCTGTGCATTGCTATTTATTTGCAACTAGAAAACATTGTCATGTAGGTCGCTTTGCTTCTTGTAATAACTATTCGAAGATAGTAGACTATCATGTCGAGAGTCAATTGTAATAGATTAACTGTCTAAAAGATAACGTGATTCTAGGAAATTCTTGAATTCTTTTTTTTTTTGTTTTTTAATAGCCCAACGCTTTTATAATGAGTCGTTATGAAGTTTGAAATGCTAAGTTCATTATATTTAAAAGACTATACAGAGTTTTGTTATGCAGAGCGACATTGTGGAGCTTAGTGAGTGAGTTGTAAGTTTGTTTGATTGTTTTTAAATGTGGGTTAAGTTATCGATTTGTTTTTTTTTTAAAAAAAAAGAAATTGAATCATTTGTAAATATATATCTGTTATAGATGATATATTTGTTATAGTTAATTGATGGATATATTTGTTAAAGATTGTTTTGGCTCATGTTGAGTTTAATTCGAGAAAAAAGAGACGGTTGTAATGCTTGGTTATGTTGAAAGAGGACAGAGTATCGTAAGTTATTTTTTGCTTCCTTAAATACTAATCGTGGTCGGTGGTTTTCAGTTACGTCGATTTATTCGCATGAAATTTCTGCGGTATGATGTTTCTTTCGATTCCCGACTATGTCATCAAGGCAGAGGTTGTAGCACATGGCGTGTAACCCCTGACCATTCTCCCCTATCTTTTCGATCCGTTGACCCTTGTCAACATGCATTAATAACCATTTAATTAAATTTTCAATATGTAAAAACCTGCTTATTTTTAAATTCTATATACTGATTTTTAAAAATTTAAAAAAAAAATTTGTTAAATTTTTTTTTAACAATAGAAAGGGTCTAACAGTAACCGGTATGTACGTATTCATTATCATCACAGTTTTTTTAAATACGTATTAGAATCGAAATATTTTAAAAAATTCGATAAAATTGATTACAAGACTTTTTATTGTTACTGTATATATAATAATAATTTCTGAATCTTTATTATATCGTTCTATTAACTTTAACTGTTAATAAAATACATTTGTTTTAATGATTAAAAAAAAAAAACGTAACGGTATCGTTATAAATGTTAATAACCATTATTGGAAAATTTGGTCGGGGGTCACAAAAAGATCAGCAATTTTTTTTAATCAAATCAATGAATTAAATTGAGTGTTTTGAAAGTATAAAAATTTATTAGAATAACATACAAACACTATATACGTAGTTACGCTTAACTCAATTGTGATGATCGGCAGGAGGTCGGTAGGTAAGTGTATATATAAATATAGTTATAATGTATTTAGTGAGGTTAAAACCCAGTACTGTAATTTATAATTATAATTTATATAGTTATTAATTGATCTTTTAAATCAACAGTAATATATACCGTACAGCTTATTTTAATGAGCGTTAATTAAACGCGTAGTAGAATTAATTAGTAGTTTAAGGATCTATTAAAAAAGCAAAGACCTTTTAAACAAGTTCAAGCATATATTTATAATCTTTTGGTAATCGTAAATTGAAATTAAGTAAGACAGAGTGGTTTGGTTTAACGATTTGTAATTAGTCAAAAAGTATAGAACAAGATCCTTTACAACAGGCATGATCGTATTTTTAGATCATATTATTTAATTTCTTTTCCAATTACATGAATGTTTCAAATTTTTGAAGTTTTTTTTCCAAATGTATGTGCAGAGAAAGAACCTGCAAATTAAGATATATTTATATCTGCAAATTAAGATATATTTATATAAAATATACGTATAATACATATATACTTTTACATATCTTATGAAAGAAAAAAAAAAGAATTTATGATATTAAAAAAAATTTTCCTCGGCAATCTAATAGGAAATTACAAACTAATTTTCCAACACCACCCTATATTTAGCCTTTCCATTACGTACGATCTTGATCCCTTCATTAATATCCTTCATAGGAATTTTTTGAATCCAGGGTCTAACGTTATGCTTTACAGCGAACGCAAGCATATCCTTAATGTCTTGGAGGCCACCGGTTAAAGAACCTTCGACCTTTACAAATCTCATGAAAGCGAACACAGGAATTTGGAGTGGGACTTCTGGAAGACCAATCAAAATAAGAGTTCCATGATTTTTGATGAGATTCATATATTTAGACCAATCTGCTTGAGGGTTACAAGAAGTTGAAAGGATTATATCCTGTGAATGAATAAATTTCTTAACATCAACCGGATCCGAAATATTCAAAAAATGAGTGGCACCAAGTTTGATCGCTTCATCATATTTTTCACTATTAATATATTAATATATGCGTAGATTTAATATATGCGTATTAAAAAAAAAAAGGAATTATATAATTTGAATAGATTTTTTTTCATCATACCTATGCGAGATAGCAGTAACTTCAGCACCCATTTTGGCAGCCCATTGAATTGCCATATGACCTAAACCACCAATGCCGGAGACACCAACTTTAATTCCAGGACCAACCTTATGACGTTTTAATGGAGCAAAGGTAGATAAGCCAGCACAAAGTAACGGACAGGCTTCAGCAGAGCTAATTTCTTCCGGAATATGGAAAACGAACCTGGAATGAGCACGAATTTTATCAGCGTAACCACCTTGAGTTTGATATTTTGTAGGAACACCTTCGGCGTCTTTCCACATATCGTTGTAAGTAAACACTCTTTTTGGGCACAATTGATCATAACCTGTAGTACACTATAGGTTAATATGAAATTAGAAAGCGATCAAAAAAAATTAACAGCATCTAATTATATATTTTATTTTTTTTTAATATCATTATTATTTATCATTTATTTACTTCGACACATTCACCGCATGAATGAACTTGACAACTGATACCAACACGATCTCCGATATTGAAATTAACAACTTTAGAACCCTTCCTCAATACATTACCGACAATTTCATGACCGAGGACGGCTATAATAATTTTAATTTATATAAGTCAGCATTTATTAAATATATTCTTCGATTCAAGAATTCAAACAAGATACCTGGATATAGAGTTGGGCGCCAGCCTGACCTCATGGTATGCAAGTCACTACCTGTTCCATGGTTTCATCTAATTAGATTTCAATTTAGTGAGACAATGACAAATTAAATATCAAACTAATAATTGATTAAATATTTACCACATATAGCACAATGTGAAATCCCAACTTCAAGATCTTCATCGCCTAATGGCTTTGGAGTATAAGAATAAGGCTTCAACTCGCTTTCTTTGTCGAAAGCTGCATAGCCATGAAATTCTTCGGCCATTCTCTATTTGCTAATATTGGAGGGGTGATTAGTAAATTTGGCCAGAGTAAAAAAAAGTTGATAAAAGAACCATATACGAAGACTATCAAGAGTGTAAGATTTTTTTTTTATTACAAGTTGTGTTACAACGATTGATCGCAACATGTGAAGTTTTGTTACACACAAAAACCTTTGAGGTATGTTATGAACCAAATTGGTAATTTTATTTCAACGTCAAAAGTTAAATTTTTTCTATTGTCTTACCGTCTGTTAAATAATTTCCCGTTTTTGAATAACACAAAAAAAAAACACAGGCGCAAAAGTTAAAGGTCGACGTAAATGTAAGTTAGGATAATATTCGTTTATATAAATTTATTATGTAGTACCTTAGCGTTAGCATTATAGCGATGAAAAGAAAATCCTATATCTAAATATTGGTGTATAATGATAATCAATACGTAACGATAGAATTAAAAAAAAATTTTTAAAAAAAAAGTGTTATTATATATTGGTAAATTTTATAATATGCTTGCACCTGCAGAAAGAGTTTCAGTTAACCGACTAAATGACCTTTCATAGCTAATCTAGGCATTTTATCCTTTTGCCTAAATTGCTGAAAGAAGTCATTATAGTCACTTGCTGGTTCAACTTCTTTGGTCACATCTAAATTAGGGCTTTCTTCTAGGCGAAATAATATTTAAGGAAAGATTAATTGGAAAGATTAATAATTTAACATCAAGTAATTATTTTATAGACAAAAAGATATGGAAGATTAAAAAAACTTACCAATAGCAATGGTTACGCCATCTTCACTTTGTAAAGAATGGCTGCCATTGACTATACATAACAGTGGGCAATTATGAATGAATTAAGAGATACGGTACGGAATAAGATATGATACATAAAAAAATTGTTTTTTAACCATTTGAAATAAAAAAAAAACTCACCCTCTAATTTAGATAGACCGCTCTCGTACTCTAGGAGAATGGTAAGTCGATAATTTAGATTAGTTAAATCAATTATTTTTGGATTTTTTTTTAATAACTATATAATCTACCTATTCGCTCTTCTGCAAATATAAGGACATAAATATCAAAGTACATGCTCTTACAGCGTTTTTATACTGTAGAGTTTGTGCAGCATTTGTACAGCAAAGGGCGCAGCGCCTTTGCAATTTATACGTTATATCTTTTACGTATTTAACGTATAAATATTGTGGCGAATTACTGTTTTAAAAGATTAACATTAACATGAATTCGCCACAATACCCAATATAAGTATTTACTCATGTTGTGTTTGGGCGAATTCGAAATTTTTCTTTTAGGTGAAATTATTTCTTATTTCACGCTGACAAAATATTTTAAAATTATTATTTTATATTGTGTGTTAAATTCGTCCCAGAAAATTATTGCTATTGACGAAATATTTCATTACTTTTAAAAGTATATAGTTCACTATAGTTACTATAGTTACTATAGTTACTATAGTTCACTATAGTTGACGTTAAAATTTACAAGATTCCATAATTTCGCATTTTCTTAATTTGCCGTATTAATTGTCAATTAACAGTATAGATAAATGCGCAATTCAGTAATTTTGACGTTAACTATAGTTTAGCCAACTCATGTTGAATTTTAAGTTGGCACTTATGGTAGTTAACAATATGATGTTAAAAAAAAAGTTGATCTTAATATTTTTTGTGCGGAAACTGTGCAGAAACTGCACAGATACCGTACATACACTGCACAAACGTCGTACAAATGCCGTACAAATTTCGCACTACGTATCAGCAGTTCATAATGTATTGCTGAATCGATTATAGAAATTATTTATGCTCTTTAAGAAACTGTAATGAGTTTTAAATAAATAAAGATACTATACGTATTTAAAACTTACCTATTTGTTCTTTCGGAAACTTAACATCATATAGAGTGCTTTCGCTCTCATGAATTTCTACAGATCCATAGTTTGGAATAGTCACGTTTTTTACAGTTGGATTTTGAAATTCAGCTTCATATTCGCTTAAAAAATAATAGTAAAGATCCTTGGCAGTTGGTCGCCTATCAGGATTTTGATCCCAACATAATTTCATTACATGTTGAAAGTTTTCTGGTAATCCCTCCGGCATTGTAGGCCGAAGTCCATTTATAATCTCTAATAAAAGGTTTTGATCATGTTTGCGATCAAAAAAAGGAGGTTTACCTACAGTTATGTAATACATTAACATTGCAATACTGTATATATCGGCTTTCGGCGTATAATTTTTTTCATTTAGTACTTCGGGAGCTATAAATGGAAGTTTTCCGTAAACAGCATTTCGTT